CTGTCCTCTGTGTGTGTGTGTGTGTGTGTGTGCATAACATTATATGCTATGACTCCGTTTAAAAACGGCCTGGTGTGCTATCATAAATACATTCAGTTTAACCCATAGCATAAAGATTTCCCAAATGCACAAGGAGTATAGGCATTTTTGCTGCACTCCTTAGGGAGAACAAGCCAACAAGTATAGTCATTATGCAATTGAAATTCTCCCACTGTACAAGTCTGTGCTGCAGGCCGTGATTCTTCTCCTCAAGCCATCCCTTCCTCCATTACCCTTGCTATGAATTCTCCTACCATCCTCAGCAATTCCCGGACAATCGCATCACCACTCGTTCCCCACTGCCCCCCTGATCACGGTACCCCGCGCTTGATGGCACTCGCACATTCTCCCTGACTCCGAAAAAGGCCAGAAGTGCCAAGAATCCCACGAGTATCACGACACGCGATGTAAGCACACTCACAGCGCTAGATCCAACTCCATGGAGCACTGTGGAAAGAATGTCAAAATTAACACAGAATTCGACTCGAGCGCCTTTTTTAAGGATGCGTCCACATATCGAGCGCGCTCAGATCCCCCGCACTTCCTTCGTAGCCTGAATTTGACTCGAGCGCCTTTTTAGGATGCGTCCGCACATCGAACGCGCTGTTTTTTTCGGTCACGTTGACAATGCTACGAGCCCATCAAGTGAATTCAGAGATCGAGCAAAGCAATAGTACAGAACATGAAGCAATCAGCATGGGCCGAGATCGAGATTGAAAGACGCAACCCGAATCACTCCGAACGCATCCTAGTAGGTAGTAAATGACGTGCACAGACAAAGGATAAAAGAAGCAATCGGAAAGGACGGAAGGGTCCTTCGGGACATCCGTTAAAATTGGAACGATACAGAGAAGATTAGCATGGCCCCTGCGCAAGGATGACACGCATAAATCGAGAAATGAAAGGACGGAAGGGCTGCAGATTCCTGGTACGCGGCAAGACGGAACTGCTGATATGTAACATAGGCCAAAAGTAGGGGAAGGGTCAAACATAGGCCAAACGTAGAGCCATTTCCCTCAGGGCTTGGCGCCTCGGGGAATGGGGCTAGGTCAGCACTGACAACAGAGCTCAAGTAGGGGCAGGGTTGTACTTGCAGTCCTGAGGGAAATGGCTCCGTGACTACATGACTAATGACTGTGACCCCAACACAAGACATTGCATTGCTGTTCCAAGGGACGCTGGACCCGGTTTCCAGCAGGTGCCGCTCCCCACCAACAGATGGAGAAGCCCGCTGGCTGAGCCCTCAATTCTGGCGGTTCTCCTACCACCGCCGGGATAGTGGACTTGCAGAAGGGCATAAAAAAATTGGAAAAAAGGAAGACCGTCGCCCATTAAAACCGATCTTATGAGTCCGCTCTTCATTCCCATGATAACGCTGTTGTACCGTATGACCCCAGTCAGCTACAGCGCCCTGCACAACCCACTCCATCTGAACTCCCAGTACATACATCCCTACAGTTACAAGGCCAACAAAGATCATCGTTGGTTTGTGGAGATGCATTCGTGGCATACTTGCAAGCGGACGCCGTCTGGGCGGTTCCGCACGTGCGGCAGACCGCCGGACCGGACCCGCGTGGCGCACGAATGTGCGCCCGACGACCAGTTACGCCCCACCCCCCCCATAAAAATGAAAAAATGGCCCTGTCCGGTCCGGTCCGGGTCCGTCTGGTCCGGGGGGAGGGTGCCGCACGCGGCAAAGCGGACCGGACCGGACGCTCGTCCGGTCCGTCTGCTTGCAAGTATGATTCGTGGAGATCAAAGACTCTGCGTCTCGATGCTCATGCACTCCAAATCGCATTAGAGTGCCAGCCACCCCGCACAACCCACCAGATTACCACACTACTTCCCTAATATTGCTCCCAAATGGCGCAGCCCGAATCGTTAGTCACAGCAAGGAGGAGCTTGGAAATCAGTCCTTAGCTGCACACGACGGAAGAGCCAAGCACACCTAAGCTTCATCCCGAGACTCGTGAAGGTGTAAGTTCCCGCGGAAAAAAAAAAAAACACTCTCACATCTGTAAGGATGCTTCTGTGCAGCAGCCTACAAGCACTGCCATCGGCGCCATGAGATCCTCATTACTCGCCACACAATCGCTCAGCATCCCCCCCTCGGTCGCAGATTGTCCTCATCCGAGTCATCCTGCACACGTCAACTTGACTACGCATACATGCCTAGAACTTTCCGGCGCGTGCAAAGGGCATGGCTAGGTCCCCATGCACACCCCTATCGTACCTTCAAATTTCAAAGGCTTCTACCGCAAGCACACCCCTATCGTCCGCCAGCCACTCCAACTCCGGCGAAGATCCGTCCTCTGGAGTTGGTATGGCTGGGGGACGATAGGGGTATACATGGGCGAGAAGTCTTTTGAAGATACTCGCGTAGTCAAGTTGATGCGTGCGGGATGATGAGGACACTCTGCGACCGAGGGGGGATCTGGGATTGTGCGGTGAGTAACGCGGATCTCATGGCGGTCTACACAGAAGCATTCTTACGGATGCGAGATTGAGTTTTTTTCCCAGCGAGAATGTACATCTTCACGCGGATGCTCTGCGACCGCGGGGAGATGGTGGGCTGGGTGGCGAGTAACGAGGATCTCATGGCGGCTATGCAGGAAGCACGAAACCGCCAGTGAACCTGTCCCAATTCCAGTTGTCCTCAACAGCATGCAGGCTTAGAACTTTCCGGCGCGTGCAACGAGCATGGCTAGGTCCATCCGATGGGCACCCCAAAATGAAGTTAAGACTTAAACCACCAGTACTTCCTAAAGTCGCGTAGCGTTATTTTCGGAAACATACGGGCCACTACAGGAGCGCCCAAATTCATCCAACTAGAAACGTTTCTACTCTACTTTTTTCCGCGGCCCATAGCTGGGCCAAGTATTGGAAGAAGTGCGATCCATCCAGCCTCCACACACCAACCATAACATCCCCTCACCGTGCAACAGAGGTCAGTCGCGCACAAGTCATCCATAGATAGAACGCCCCACGCGACCCACTCCTCCCATAACCGCCATCGACCGTGAGCCGACGAAGGGGGGGGGAAAAAAGCACTTCTCAAAGTAGATCAGCATAGGAATCAATTGCGCAAGGTGCCGGCAAAGGTGAGATCGAACCGCCACTCGCAGACCACCTGGAGTCTCCGCCACGTCGTGGGCACTCTCGTACATCCAGGGAAGTATTTAGAACTTGAGTTCGCGATAGTGATCTTTTCTTTTCTGCAGTGAATGCCTGATTGATAAACTGTAAATACTTTTTTGCTTTTAGTCTTTAAATTGGTCTTTCGATCTTCTAGCAGTGCAATGGTGTTGTAAAAAAAAAAAAAAAAAGAAAAAAAAAAAAGCAGTGCACTGCATGTCTCATTCCTCTTTGCTGCAGCGTAGGATTTTTTCTTCTGTTTGATTGATACTATTTGATAGTGTGTAAAAAAAAAAAAAAAAAAAAAAAAAAAAAGAATGCTACCTTTCGATTCTCAGTCCCTTTGAGGAACGGCTGATTCATTGCTCTTTTCGTTAGTTGCGTCTCCGCCCTCCTCGGCACTTGAAGTTCTCTCCTTCAAGCCCTTGTCAGTGGCC